CCCAAAATTATGGAATAGGTGTAGTAATTTGGATAGAAGCGACACTTACAGTATTGTGAGATTATTCAATGTAGTTGGCTGCCAGCATTTCTCATTGAAATGAACAGTATCATGGAAGCAATATGCAAAACTTCAGCTGAACTCAGCTTTAGCTTAAGATCTAATGAGGTCTGAACTCTCTGGTGCCTCCAAGAGGAGTACTTTGGGCAGGTTTTTCTTACCTTGTGTTTTAACTGTTAAAGCCCATCCATTTGGCTCCATGTTCCTTCAGTACCAAGGAGATAGAATAGCTGCTTATTCCCAGTGGAATGCAAAACGCTTTTGCTTTCCCATTCTGTTAGATGTTGTTTCTGAAGCTTGTTTGCAGGTGACACATCTGAGTAGTGTATAAAGCTGGGCATTTGCTAAGGCACTTCTATTATTTACAAAGGTCCTGGATGAGGAATTTCTAGCTAACAAGTTTGAAATCACCTGGAGTTAAAGTAGAACAAGACAAACTGAACTAAATAGCTAAAATATTTAATTGGTGCCTGATTTTGTAAATATTAGCAAAGTTTGTGTAGAGAGAAAACTATGCTTAGTTTATTTTTCCCTATACCCTGCACTGTGAGGTGTCTGTCCTGTCTTTGTCACTGTTGTCCCTTAAGTGCTGTCTTGGTCCTTGGATGTGTAACTGGCATGTGTTGTCCCGCTAAAGGCGCTATGTGTGTCAGCAAGAAACTCTTTGAAGTTGGTATAAACCGGAGAACACGCTTGTCTTAATCTGACACAGACTGTGAATGCATGTTTGTTTGGTTGAGGTGAGAACAATCTCCAAGTACATTGTGAACATTCACGTACTTCTGTTATATGCATTAATGCTGGAATTTATGGAGGTCAAAGTTAACTTAAATGTGGACAAGTAATTTAGTCATCAGCCATACTTCGTGTCAGTTTTGGAAAATGAATGGTAAAAATTTGAATAGAGCAAACTACAAGCTTTATCAGAAGTGTAACTTTTGAAAAGAGACAACGAGAAGATTACAGATCCTACTCTGGGTCAGGCACTTTTCATGTTGCATTTGCATCCATGACACATATCTGTCAGGTTCTCTTCAATAGACCACTGAGAGCTAAGGAGCTTTAGGAACTATATATTAATCATAACCACTCTTCTGTGATAAGCCTGCTTTTCTGCAACTTATAGGAGCTGTACAAAAGATGACTTGCATCCTTTGGTAAAATGTTTTGTGTATAGTTCATGGTTTTGAATGCTACAGCGCTAAAAACTGATTATCAGGTATTTTAATACTGAAATACCTTGTTACTCTTCTGTAATGACACTTCAGTAGGGAAATGAGCTCTTCACATCTTCCATATTGTCGTGAACAAGATCCTCTAGAGATCTCTGCTCATGGCCAAACACGGAATGATGGTACAGGAAGGAATCATGGAGTCATGCAGTTTCATGATTTTAGAAATGCTGATTTAGCAGGTGGTGCATACCAGCTCCTTTTCAAAGTTACTTTTATTGTCTTCTCTTCTTTTGAAGAAGAGACAATTAATTTCAGAGACAGGATATGTCAGTAGTGATGAAGCACAGCTTTTTAAAACCAGAAGACAGGTACAGTGGAATGATCAGACAAGCTTAATAACAAGTGTAGGGGGATTTTATGTTTCCCTGTTTATGGTTGTTTCTACTAGAGTTGTGAAGTAGATGTTAAATGAGTGTGTAGCAGTTAAACTTGTTAATACGAGTGATGGAATTAAATTTTTACATTGAAGATGTAGTACGTGCACTTCACTCAGAACATTAGAAGATTTCAGAAAAATACCTATCTTTGTGATGCAAAACCTAAACAATTAAACACCTATGACAAATCACAAGTGTCTTCAATAGTTGTGCAGGGAAAATGATGATTTTAAAATTCACATCGAAATATTTGCCTTATGTGTTATCGTCTAAACGCTACTATGATGATATAACATTAAGCAGCATTTTGTCTTCTGTGATAGGGTGGGCTGAAAAACAGCAAGCATGAATGTACACTGTCCTCGCAAGAATATATTCATGAATTGAGATCTGGAATTTCAGAGGAAAAGCTTCTTAATTGTCTAGAGTCTTTGAGAGTGTCTCTAACCAGCAATCCAGTCAGGTAAGGAATAATTTTTGCAGTAGTTTTCTTCATGGTTTTGGTTAGCAATAAAGAATTGTGGTGTTTTTATTCTGAGACCAGCACGATTATGCTGATACTTATTGTCACTCAAAAGTAATTCTCGGCACACTGGAAAAGGGTAAGTGAAAATGATTGCAGCTGTGTCACCTTTCACAGTGTTTCTCAACAACTTCCAATTGCTGGAACCAAGTGTTTGTCTCAATAGCTGATGAGATCTTCCTGGAAGTGAGACTTAAAAGCCTATGTGCCTATGAAGAGTGTGCCTATGAAGAGGTGTGCAAGCAGTATTGGAGACGTAACTTTTTGAGTTTTACATTTGATTAAGAAATAATTAAAAGCATTTTCTTTTCTTTTTTCTAGCTGGGTTAACAATTTTGGACATGAAGGTCTTGGACTTCTGTTGGAAGTGTTGGAAAAGCTTCTGGACAAGAAACAGTAAGGACTCAGATTATTTGAAGGGAGGGGAGAGGTGGGGGAGTTTGTGAAATTTGTTTGTACTTATGTTATTTTCCTCCGCTCTTTCAAGGCAGGAAAGTATTGATAAGAAGAATCAACATAAACTTATCCAGTGCCTCAAAGCATTTATGAACAATAAAGTAAGAAATATTTTAAATTCAGATACTTCTAGCATGATTGTTTTTTATTGACTTGAAGACCTATGTAGCATGTTGAATCTCAAAAAGGGAAGGAAGCTTCTATATCCAGTGTCAGCTGACACTTTGGAAAAGTAGGTTGTAAACTTAGTGTAACTTTTTGTTAAATGTCTTGTTCATAAACCTCCTGAATATGCATTTTGTTTTAGTTCTGTTAAATATTATTGATTTTTTTTTTTAGAAGTAGAATATTTGGTAAACAGATGATGATAGTATGGATTTAAGGTAGGTTAATTAAGAAACTAATTGCTTTAGACTTTAAAAGAAATATTTTCCTTTCAATTTCAGATTTCAATACATGCTTGATTTTGTTAATATAATGTACTGTTCATCTGATTTTTACCTTGAGTATTATTTACTATCTTTTTAGCTACTGTTTTTAGGTAGGGGTACAGTTAGGTAGGTAGTGGGTAAAGGATAAAGCTTTGGTCTACAGGGTACTCATGTTCACTAAGCATGAGTACTACTTCTCGAAGTTGATGTGTTACACTGGTTATTTTGCTTTATTCATAGCAAAATCTAAAGTGTTGCTATAACAGTTTATTCTCCCCACCCATAACAAACATAACTGTGTATTAAGGTTACTTTTAACTACTGTTACTCAGTTTATTCTGTGAGATTTTACTAGCCTGTTTGATGAAATGTGAAGAGTAAACTTAAATGTCACAAGCTTCCCCCCCTTGAGCTATTCCTACATGGTGGTTGGCTGGTAGAGTGTGTGTGAGGGTTCCTAAGGATCTAGCGCCCAAAGATGAAGTTTGGCATTTGAGAAAAATACGGTATTTTCATTGTAAGCTTTTTTTCTTTTTAAGTACGGATTGCAAAGGATTCTGGGAGATGAAAGAAGTCTTTTGCTGTTATCAAGAGCAATTGATCCAAAGCAACCACACATGATGACTGAAACAGTGAAAATACTTTCTGCTATCTGCATTGTTGGAGAGGAAAATATGTAAGTAAGACAATTGAAAATTTTTTTTTTTTGAATGCTCATGAGTTTTGAGTTTGGACACAGGTGAGAGAACTTAAAAAGTTACATTTTTTTCACTGACAAGTCTTTACTTTCTTAATGTAGTTTAAATGAAAAGACCGTCACTGTTCTGATGCATTAATCCAGTATTAAATCAGACTAAAGTAAATGAGTAGGGATCTACAAATGGTGTAGAAGGTCTGAAAGGACTATGATTGCTTACTATAGAGAATGGGAGACTTAATGAGCCATAACTGTTAATAAATGGCTGTTGAAAAAAAGTATAAGGTATTTCATATATCTCTTGAGTATGATCATGAACCTTTAATTGCCACAGGGAAAGATTTAAAGACAATTGAGAACAACGTGTGTAATCGTGGGGCACTACTGAGCTTATTATTGTGGCAAAGGTAGAGATTGAGACATCTCCCCTGAGGAGGGGACATAAATTAATTTACTATATTTGAAAATTACTGATCTGACACTACGTGTTAAGTTTTTTTCATTAGTTTAGAAGACAATATTAATACTACAGTAATATTTTTGTATTAATGGCTTTTGTTAAAATATCACCTCTGCCTAAACATAACCAGTTTGACAGAGGCAAAAAGTTCACATTTATAGCTGAAGTTTTGAATAGTTCGAGTTATGTAGCATATGTCCATGAGCTTTTTAAAACAAAGATAATCAGCTGGCATGTGTTTTGCTTTGAATTATTGAGCGTGCTAATTTACTGAAGGTTAACAGTGCCAAACTCCATGTTTTGTGTGCAATAGACAAAAATATTTTCATTTATGAAACGATAATTCTTTAGAAATCTCAGATGTCAAACATGTCAGCTAGTACGTAGTGCACGGTCTTGCAAACGTAGTGATTGCTTTCACTCATGGGTTGTTTCTTAGCTGAATGTCACAATAATTTAGAGATTTATTCACCTTTTTTTAAAATTCAACTTCAGTCTTGTAGATACTTTGACACTTGGTTCTTGGTTTGTTTTCAACTTTATATAGATAAGTGTAGATAACTGCATTTGCTGTCAGTGCACTAAAGTCTTGAGTTGTGTAAATAGTGGGCTAACTGTCTTGAAAATGAGCAAGTTGACTGTGATACGCTTTTGACAGTTTATCTTTCTCTTAGTCTGGACAAGCTTTTAGGTGCTATAACAACTGCTGCGGAAAGGCACAATAGGGAACGTTTTTCTCAGATTGTTGAAGGACTGGAAAACCATGAATTCTTACAGTTGCAGGTGGGTTGACTTTTTCATAAGCTTACTCATACTTCAGAAATCTAAAATGCTAGAAGACTGTGTATTCTTTTATGATCTTTAAACTGTTTACCAGCAAAATCTTATACTGCTATTATTCCAGTGTTCAGTAAAAGAGGAAAAATAATTGAAATGGCCTGTTGATACTAGGTTTTTCTAACTATTAATGGTGTAAAACAAGAAACTCAGTTCCTTGTCCCAAAAATAGTATTTAAAAGTCTTGACCTTTATAAAAAGACAGTAATTAGCAATATTTTTTTCTCTTGGATGCCAGATTTAATGCTCGGGTAATAAGCCTTTGAAAGCATTTTATTATCATTGTCACTGCTTTATCTTCTTGACTGGAAATTTTGTGTGGCTTAATGGATCAGTAAAAATACAGCTTTGCCTGCCTCCTGAAATGTTGTAGTTATTGTTACTGGAGCCCTGAGGATGTTGGAGTTTAAGGAGTTGGAGGCAGAGGTCTCTTGAATCTCTCTTGGGTTTAGGGAAGAAGTATGAAAAAGTGCTCTTAAGTTGTATTGCTTGTTTAAACACCCCTTTCCCCCCACACCCCATTGTTGCCTCATGCAAAGTAAATAGAAAATCCTGTAGTTATGGTTTTGAACTGATGCCGTTGAAGTAATATGTTTGTGAAAAGATACCACACATTTGTGTTGTGCTCTTCAAGTGAGTATTTGAGTTTAATTTAGAACCACAACTGGAAACCCTTAACTGAAACACTTTAAGTATCTTGCTGTTTGAAGTACCTGGGGCACTAACCCGCTTCCAGTACTGTTAATCTTTTTGTAATATTACTGATTGAAGAATTAGGTGAGTATAGATCATCTTAAAATTGTTAAATAATTTGAAGATTTTATTTCTACTCGGATTTTCTAGGAACTGCAGTCCAAAGCTTTATTTGGAAGGATTTTGGTAACTTATCATTCTCCCTGGTAATGACAACTTAGCCTATCCTAGCCTCTCTCTGTTAAATTGAATGGTTGACCTTCTTTAGAGAAACTAATGACACAAGGACAGTGATAATTCATTAATCGTTTAGTAATATGATAAGCAAATTGAGTGGGAGTAAAATAGCCAGTGTTAGATATTTAAACCTTGGTGTCATCCAACATAGCCACCCTCTTAAATTAAACAGAAATCAGCCACAGTCAAAATCGATCAATGTCAAGTATAATTTTTTGAACAGCTTTCACCTTTGGTATACTGGCTTTATAGTCAGCTCAAGAGAGATGTGTGGGTTAGTGTAACTGTCTTGTGCAGGAGTACTCAGAGTTCATGCAAAGCTATGTATTGAGAATAAATACTTCAGCAACTGCAGTGCTGTGGCCCTGTGGGTGGAGTGTAGTAATTCTAGTTTTTATGCTAACCTATCCTTTTGAATCCTTTTGCTATAAAATGTAACACTGTTCCCTTACAATGGGCATGCAGGTTTCATCCACGGCTAAGAAATCTGTAAGATATTGTTATGGTTTAACCCCAGCTAGCAATTAGATTACCACACAGCCGCTCGCCCACCTCCCCCCTCCCCCTCCAGAGATATACCTGCAACTGTGTTACTGCCGCAACTTTGCGTTTAACCCCAGCTAGCAATTAGATTACCACACAGCCGCTCGCCCACCTCCCCCCTCCCCCTCCGGCAGAGATATACCTGCAGCTGTGTTACTGCCACAACTTTTGACAGCACTGTATGTAACCTCTTAAATATTCCCACGTTTAACAACTGTGTCAGATGCGGGTGGGGAGCGTGTGTCCGTTTCTGCCAGGGTACCTTTTGAAACTAGTAGTGTACAGCAGGGTATCACTGCTACTCTTGTCAACAAGAACTGTGCGTTGTCTGGTGTGTGTTTGACATCTGCCCTTCCTCAGCCACTAGTGCATCTCTAGGGATTATCTAGTCAGGTTGTAAAATTATTTTATAAAATAATAACTGTACCTGTGATCTTTACTCAGTAAAGAGCCTTTGTCCCATACTCATTGCTGCTCATGTGTCAGTAGATAGAGGTTTTCCTTTTGTTCTCTGTATACAATGGAGTAACCCAAGAATTTTGGTTGCTGTTAGAATGCAGGCATTTCTGAGAGCTTTTTTTTTTTTGGTAGGTTTTTGCATAGAGACCAAGTGGTTGAGTATCCTACTAAAGGATGACTTTGACCCATATCCTTCTCATAATACAGTATTTATACAAGATCTTATTGCTGAAGTACCATGGAAAAACAAAATGCAGGCAGGGCAGGTATACCTGCATGGAAGGTGTACATTTTTCAAGTATAAGATCATATATGTGGCAGCTATAGTTGTCTTAATGTGATGTTTACTGTCAGTAGTTCCAGTTTCAGAGTAGATGAGTTAATGATGTTTAAGTTTCTAAAAATGACATCCTAATCTTAATAATGCTATCACAAAAGAATTCATTTTGTAGTGATTTCTTATTTTTATGACCTTGTTGATTTAAAACAAACAAACAAAACCAAACACAACGTTCCTGCTCTGCCCCACCCCCAAAGCTGCACTTATACATCAGTGAAGGTACTATTGTAAGACTCATTAACTTATTTCTGACAAAATCGTTCTTTACTTGTAATGTATTAGCACAAACCATTAAGTCAGAGTCTCTTCTGGCAAAAGCAATCATAGCAGATGGCACCTCTTCTCTCTATTAATTTCAGATTGGACATGTACTTTGGCTTGTTAAGTCATGTCATAGTAGTAAAATAACAAGAATCATTCAAGCAAGCACGATGATACTACATTATCTGAGGACAGAGCTGTATAAAGGGAGTGCCTTTGAATGTGTTTTAATAGAAATTTAAGACTCCATAAGGTGCTCCATTAAAACTAAATAGTGAATGTAATTAAAATAGGAAGGGTGCTCTTACCTGACTTCTTTTCTCTGCAGCTATTGATTTTTATTCATGTATTTTTCTACTCTAATGATACTTCTATTTGCAGTTAACATCTTTTTCCAAACTTGGTATTTCCCTGGAGCCCATTTTAGTCTTTTAACGTGTATCAGCACTTTTGGCATTATGCTATTGTCTACCTGTTTTAAAGTAAATCAATTAGAGTGCACAGCTGTTCAATTAAAGCATTAGCCAGTATCCTGAGACTTCAGGCATTTTGCGAAAGTGCTGTGCAGGAGTAGAAAAGACACCTGGTGATGTGAACTATTTTGTGTATGGGGGGTGGTTTGTTTTTTTTTCTTTTTTGAATTTTTGATTACTGTAAAAACAGGTTGTTTTCAAATTTATCAGATACTGAGGAGAAAGAGAAGGAGTTGCAGTGTGGGACTGTAGTGTGGGAATAACTTTCTGAACTAAAGTATGATCCTTTATGTGATAAAATTTTGACATAGCAGAAGCACTCACAGTATGAAAACAGAAGAGTGATGTTGCATAAATTAACTCGTTTTGTTGAATGTCTGCTGCATAATAAATAATATCCATCTCTTGACATTTGCTTTTATAATTAAATAGTCAAAATCAGTATTTATTTTCATTCTATCCATACTAAAAGTTTTGGCCTGTTTTTTTGATAACAGGTAGCATGTATGCAGCTCATCAATGCCCTTGTTACATCTCCGGAAGATCTTGATTTCAGGATACACTTGAGAAATGAGTTTTTACGTTGTGGCCTGAAGAAAATACTGCCTGTAAGTCATTTGTATAAAGGATTTCATCACAGTCAACTGTTTGTGATTGAAGAAGATAACCAAATTGTTTTAGTGAGAGTAGCAGATATGAGAGATCGGGTGTGGGGAACGTCAGACCTGGGAAGGGCTGTCAATCCACATCTGCTTTCATTTTGCATAGTTGCAAATTCAGACTCTCAAGAACAGTGTAAACCACAATGGTAGTAGAAACAAGTCAATAAATTAAAAATTAAATTGGAATAGTCATCAAATATAGCATGATGAGCTCAGAGCTCATGCAGTGCATCTGAGTCTGGCTGTGGAACCAATCTTCGATGACCTTTCCTTGTGTGCTGTTCCTGTTGTTATCTGTGAAATCTGTTTTTCTTCAATCTGCCTTCTGAAAATGCATTTGGAATTTTTAAGGAAAAATGAAATTGGCTCCTTGATTCTCTTTGAGACTGCATGTCTTCATGCAGCTTCATAGAAGTATGCTTTTATGGGTAGTTGTGTATCAATATTTTTAACTTAGGGGTAGGTTTATAGGTCTTAACCAAGAAACCATTCTGATGCTTACATCAGAATGAGTATAAATAAGCCACTCGACGATTTCTCAGAAAGATGAGAGAAGTTAAAGAGCACCTGCTTATATTTGTCTGAACCAAAAGTTACAGCCGTATAAATTCTAAGATACAAAGTTTTGAATCATCAACATTTGTCAAGAATAAAAACCTTCAGTTTTTAGCACATTCATCTTTGAAAATGTTAGTGATATATGTATGTTAAGTTTTGGTAGGTTATGTATTTCAGTTTTGCATCACATAGATGCATTAATGTGATCTGGTGTTTTTATTTGCTGCAGAACTCTTGAAAGCCTGAAGAACTTAGTTTTGGGTTTTGTTTTTGTGTGTGGGTTTGTTTTTTTTTTTTTAATAAATCTACTGAAAGTTAATTTACACAATCAATAAATACAGTAAAACCTTAAGAATTGAGGTGGGTCAGGTGGCAAATAAACTGAATTGTAATAAATCATGATAGAAAACTTCAGAGTGTACTCTACATGTAGTATAAATATCATCAAGGATGAATTTAAAAGCATTAACAATTAGTGATAATAATCTATTCTAAAAATGTTGAACAGCTATTATGTTGAAATTCTGTCTCTAGTAAGGTTGATACTTCGTGTAAGCTGTAATACCAACTTAAATAGTATTTACTGTCTTGCTGTTGGTTTATTTGTAAGGTATTAGGTACAACATACACATTGAGCTCAGAGCATTAATTCTTCAAGGAATGAATGTCCAAGGTAGAAGAGGTCTTTTTTTGAATGAGAAACCTACTTTCTTAATGATAATTCTTCTTAAGATGCATTGATGGTCATATCTGTGCTTAGGGGTAAATTTTAAAGAAATTTTTAAGGTGGGTTTCTGGAACAAAAAATAATCAGGAGGTGGATCCTTATTTCTCTCCATCTGTCCAGATACACAATAGCCTTTTCTCATTTCCAAACATTATTAATAACAGAAGTGTTAAGCCTGAAGAAGTGTGAAGAAGATAGGCTTAAGTTCACTTTCATGAATGTTTTGAAATATCTTTATGCTATTTTTTTTTTTAAAGAAACTCTGACATTAACAAGCATAGATTGCTGACTATGTCCCACTAAGAGACCTCGACTCAGAAGGCTTCATATTTGTTCTGCAGCCCGTACCTGCTGAATGTGCTGATACTTTACCTTAATTTTTCTCTGCTGTGCAGTTATAATAAAAAAGCTCAGGCTCTGAGTTACAGCTTACTTCTGTTACGAAGGTTAATGTCTTATATTTTGTCATGGTATAATCTTTGAAGGGGTGGAATTCTTGCTTAAAAAAATGAAAATTAAGATATACTATGCCTTGAAAAATAGGGCTTGAAAGATAAGGATAATGAAGAGCTTGATATTCAACTGAAAGTGTTTGATGAGAACAAAGAAGAAGACTTAATTGAACTGTCACATCGTCTCAATGATATCAGAGCTGAAATGGAATATCCTTTATGGAAATAGTGTCACGACTTGTTGCATCATTTAATAACTTTACTAAATGTGAGTTAGAATGCTCTACGTGCAGTTTATTTGTCACAGGTGCATAACTTAACAGGCACTTTCTTAAGCAGTTCACTTTCCACTTGTATTTTTGTTTAAGAAATTATTTAGAAAAAAAAACCTTAGAGAATTAGTGCTTAAATTTGCATGTCAAAGGTCATTGGCAACTGAATTAATTTTTCATAAGTTACATTTACTAAGCTAAACTCTGGCATGTAAAACTTGGGGATATAAAATTACACCCACGGAAAATTATAAGGTTGAAGAAAAAAAAGTTTTAATAACTAAGTTGGACCAAAATTTGTAGTAGGTTCTGAAGCACTTAAGATGCATGCCTTCTGTAATCGTGAAGAAGCAGTAAATTTGAAGTTATGTAAGTTCAGAATGGTTGCTTGCAGTTTTTAAAGTAGTAGTAGCTGGTACTTAAGAAGCAGAGGAAGATGAAACCTATAAGAGGAATATGAAATCAAGGAATATGAAACAAGTACTGCTGTCGCATTACAGAACAGGTAATTACAGGTAGTTTTCTTCTTTAAGAAATTAAAACAATTGCCTTAGAGCGTATTTGCCGATGGCCGGGCTCACTTCAGAATGAAAACAAAAGGTTTGTGCAAAATATATTTACAGGGTTCCATGATAATAAGTATGTAGTACAATTTTTCTGAGCAGTAATGAAGCATGGCTTAATTTTTAAACAAGGGACAGTTTCTGTGGATATTCTCAGTGGGAAAAGGTTATTTACTAATAAGGATACTAGTTCAGAGTGGTGAAAGGTTTTACTTGCACAATATGAACATCTAGAGAACTGGGTTTGGGTAGAGTGGGTGTTTTGTTCTGTTGTGGCTTTTTTATTTTTCATTGTTTGTCATGGTTTAACCCCAGCCAGTGACCAAGTACCACACAGCTGCTTGCTCACCTCCCTCCTCCCCCAGTGGAGGAGGCGAATTAGAGGAAAAGGGAAGCAGACTTGTGGGTTGAGATAAGAACACTTTAATTATTTAATATAAATGAATAAATTAATGATACTAACAATACCAGTAAGATTAACAACACTAATAATATCAATGTTACATATTATTAGTAGTAATGAAAATCATGCTACCACTACTACTAACAATATGTAATAAAATAAGTGGAAAATAAAACAAATGATACAACTGCGTACCACTTGCCAACCGATACACAGCCAGGCCCTGAACAGTGACAGCCAGGAAGTGTAGCAAAGAAATTGGGAACACAGGTGCAGCATCAGAAGCTGAAAAAGTCTTGGTACAAATGCTTCTCAGCAACAACAGAAAACACCAGTGTTATCAATAATCTTTTCAGTACAAATCCAAAACGCAGCCTCATACTAGCTGCTGTGAAGAAAATTAGCTCTGTCCTAAGTCAAACTAGCACATCCTACAGCCCTTATTTCGTACCATTTATGGCATGCTCAAGTCTCACACTATTCCATATATTCTCATTACCAGCTCCCCCCTTTCCACCCATCCTAGACTGACATCATTCACTTAGTCTATGGACCAGCTTTGCAAAATGTCCATAAATGTGCATTAACTTCATTTATTCCATGATGTTGGGTTCCATCTGTTGTAGTCACTCAGCACAGGGAAGGTAGGATGTTGCGTGGGATCATTGGGTGCCAAAGCCAGCTGAGGTCACTGCTGCATGTCTTGCAAGCCTTGTCCTCCAAAAGTTCAGGTGATTTCTGCTATACTAATTCCTATAACGCACAGCTCGGAACAGGGGTTAGTTACAGCAATTAATGTCCATTAATGTAATTCAGTTCATGGGCTATTTCCCCCCAGAATCAAATCCCTTTGAGGTACGCATCAGACTTCCCCATCTTCTCTCATTACCCACCAAGTGCACCCAGGTCCTTAGCAAAAACACCATGGATGGGTTTGTCTTTGCCCAAGGCGGGAGTAACCCAGGCTGTTTTTTCCCAACATGGTTGCAGCATGTACTACAAGGGCTTCATCTCTTTCCACAGTACATAAGTGTTGATTGGGCAGGGATAGCCTGATTGGCAGATCCTCTTGTTTTGATTAACCATGTGGCTTTTGCTAAATATGCATCCCAATTTTTGAAAGTTCTACCCCCCATTGCTCTCAGGGTGGTCTTTAATAGCCCATTGCACCATCTGACCTTCCCAGAGGCAGTTGTGTGATAGAGGATGTGATACACCTACTCAGTGCTGTGCTCTTTGGCCCAAGTGTCTATGAGGCTGTTCTGGAAATGAGTCCCATTGTCTGATTCAATCCTTTCTGGAGTGCCATGCCACCACAGGACTTGCTTTTTCAGGCCCAGGATGGTATTCCTGGCCGTGGCATGGGGCACAGGATACGTTTCTAGCCACCTGGTTGTTGCTTCCACCATTGTGAGCTCGTGGCACTTGCCTTAGCGTGTTTGCGGGAGCATGGTATAATCTGCCCGACCTCCCCTATATTTCAGCCATCATCCTGTAGCCACCCCCACAGAGCATTTGCTACCATTCACGAGTCAGTGTAGAGGTAAACACTGGCCATTTCTCTCATTAAGCAAAGTCCAAAGCCATCTGGATGGCTTTCACCTCTGTGAACTGACTCGATTCACGTAGGCCTTCAGCATCTCTGCACCTTGTCATGTGGGACTCCACACAGCAGCTTTCCACCGCCGGTGTTTCCATACAATGCGGCAGGACCCATCAGTAAACAGGGTGTATTGCTTCTCATTTTCTGGCAACTGGTTGTACAAAGGGGCTTTTTCAGCATACTTTGCTTCCTCCTCTGGTGACCTTTCAAAATCCTTGCCTTCTGACCTGTCCATGATTATTTCCAAGGTTCCTGGGTGTGTGGGGTTTCCTATTCGAGCTCACTGTGTGATCAGAGCGACCCACTTACTCCAGGTAGCATCAGTTGCATGGGGTGTAGAAGAGACCCTTCCTTTGAACATCCAACCCAGAACTGGCAGCTGAGGTGCTAGGTGGAACTGTGCTCTACTCTCTTAATTCCATGCTGCTGGTCCTGTTATCCCAGCATCAGAGCACCCAGGTGATAATAAAGTCACTTGGATGATGGCTGAACTCTCCTTGCATAGCCCGTAGCTCACACAGGAATAAAGATCAAGTGGTTACCTGTTGTTCTGCGTCATCCTCTGGCTCTTGTGATGGCCCTGCTACCTCCTCCTTTACTAGACGAGTTGGTTTTCATGTCCATTTCTTCTGTACTGCGGCAACTGACACTGGCTGATTCTCTGATTCAGCTGCCTCCCTTGTTACCAGGATCTGAGCAGTTGCAGTGCTTGTCGTTGGGGTTTCAGCAGCCAAGTCACTGGGATTAGAGTAGCTGCAGGGCCTGTTGGGGGCTTGGGGTCACTGTAGGGGGTGGAGTAGCCGCATATCCCGTTGGCAGTTGGAATAGCTGGAAGAGGGTGTTTGAGTGTCTGTGTTGTCCGTTGTGGGGGTTTGGGTGGCTGCACAGTGCCTGCATTCACACTGAGCACTGTTAGCACATAAGGCAGTATTTCTAAATAGTTATTTAACTTTAAACCAGATCTGGAGAACTTTCAGGAGCGCGCTGGGCCCTGGCAATAAGACACTCTAAGATCATGAAAAATTTCCAAAATGCTTATACAATGTGTCCATTAATCTGGTAGAAAAGGAAAAAAACTGGGCCAATTTCTCCCCAGGAGAAAAAGGTGAAAGGTGTAATTGTTAATAGTGTCCAGGAGATGGCACCCGAAGTACTGGGGTGGTGACAGTATTGCTTACAGGTACTGAACTGTTTCCACCTCCACTGTTAGATGCCCAGCCGAGCAATACCCTTCAGCCAGGCTCCAGCACTAATAAACAGCACAGCAACGAACACATAGGGGGGGTAGGTCCGACAGCTCTAATAACTCTAAGAGCAAAGAAGTCAACATCCTGACCAACCACCACTAGATCACTATAATGAATACTTGGAACTATTCTGTTTTGACACATGGTAATCAGATATGTCGTTATCTCAACATTTTGAGCCCCACTTTGGGTGCCAAAAAGGACTGTTGTGGTTTAATCTCAGCCACCAGCTAAGTACCACACAGCTGCTTGCTCACCTCCCCTCTTCAATGGAGGAGGAGAATTGGAGGAAAATACAAGGTAACTCATGTGTTGAGATAAGAAAAACCTAATTATTGCGTATAACTGAATAAAATCATGATACCAATACTATATTAATAGAACTAATATTACTACTATTAATATGTAATGAAAATAATACTACTACTGCTCCTACTAGTATGTAATAAAAATAATGGAAAATAAAACAAGTGATACAACTGCTCACCGCCTGCTAACTGATGCCAAGCCAGGTCCTGAGTAGTGGTAGCTAGAGCCTGAGGGAAAGCAAATGAGGAAGCCAACCCACATGGCCTCTGTCCCACCCTCAAGCTAAACGCTGAGTGTGACATTTTATAGAATGAAATACCCCTTTGGTCAGTTTGGGTCAGCTGTTCTGGCTGTGTCCCCTCCCAGCTTCTTGTAGAGCAGAAGTTGGGAACACAAGGGCAGCACCAGAAACCAAAAAAGGCCTTGGCTTGGTACAAACACTTCACAGCAAACACTAAAAACACCAGTGTTATCAGTAACCTTCTCAATACAAATCCAAAGCACAGCTTCCTACTAGCTGCTGTGAAGAAAATTGTCTCAAGTGAAACCAGCATGCTGTTTTTGTTTGGGGTTGGTTGTGTGTTTGTTTGGTTTTTTTTAAAGTCCTTGTTTTTCCTTAACAATGTTTGCACTGATGTGAATGAAGTATTTCATCTGCTGTATAATATGTTGAAAGATACTTCTTCTGAAAATTACTTCTTGTCAATTCTCCAACATTTCCTTCTCATCAGGGGTGATTACTATGTCCGGTAAGTGTCAGGTTTAATGTCTTTGTGGGGGTAGAGGGAAGAAGAGAAGTTAAGACCCTGGTAAACTGAATAGCTCATAATCGTGCATGAATAGTTGCTCTGTAAATGATATGTTATTTGTCTTTCTACTCAGTGTTAATATTGAATAGATATTGTTAAATGGCAAAGGATAAAGGAAAAGTGCACGATATTTTGTGGAGTCTTGAACTACTTCAGATCTCCTGCTGAGAAACTGACAGCAGGGCTTTAATTAGCCAGAGTACAAATAGGACTTTTACCTCAATCCTTTTACTGGCAATTCTGTCATTCATATACTACGAGTTAGTTGTCCCTTTTTTCCCCTTTCATTTTGCATATATGATTGTTCACATTCTTACTGTCTTGTAAAATGTGATTTTTGTTAGACCTCAGTATTACAAGATAATAGAAGAGTGCGTATCACAGATAGTATTGCACTGCAGTGGCATGGACCCGGATTTTAAATGTAGAGGAAGAATGGACGTGGATTTTACTCATCTTGTTGGTTTGTATACTATAAGCAATTTCATCTTGTTTTACTGAAGTGCACCTTTTCTTCTTTGTGTGCTTTTGTCTGTGCTTAAATTGACTGGGGATGTTTTCAGTTTTTTGGAAATGTGCATGTAAGCTACAGATACACTTGTGGAAAAGGCCAGATCAAGCCCTGCAGCTCTGCCTTTAATAAAATGACACTGGAGTTGGCTTCTCCACGTTTGTCTTGACTTCTATCTGAATACAATAATCTTAAAAAATTGCTTGTTCATAGATTCTGTGAATTTGAGTCTGTTACAAAACCAAAATTTGCATTATCAGTAATTGTTAGTGGGTTTACAGTTGTTATGTGGTTCTTCTTAAGAATATTTTCCAAGTATTTGAGGTTAGTTTGAGGTGAACTAATCAGTTAAAGCATCAAGGGACTATGGATGTTGATGTCACGTGGGAAAGAAGACGCTGAATAAATACTGTATCATTTAAACGTCGGCGGTTATCAGCGTTTAGAAGTCTTGTTTTATGCTTTTCTTAATATTGGTGGGGTAGATTGTATTCTTGCTCCGGGGTAAATATTTCATAGGGGAAAGCACTTACTCTTGAAAGCATCCATTTGGAAAAATGGGGTTTTTTGGTGATGTGACAAAAGGACCAAAGATGGGATGTTGTTTATGTTGACTTTGGGGCTTGGATATGTGGAAATTGCTTTCTAAAAGGTGTCCTGCATGTCTAAGTAGTAGTTCTGCAGTTCCTATTCACTTAGGATTCTGGGAGGATGATCACTTGATCATACATTAAGATCTTCACCTTGCCTTCTGTTTCCACTAAGCTGCTGTCCAAATTCTTGTTGCTTACGAAATAACTGAAATAAGGAAAAGCTTTATTTTTGGATTCCTAATCTAGAAAGGGGCTTTTTGATTTAAAAACTAAGAAGTAACTTTTACTTCATACTAGTGATAAAATCCTGTTTTCATCTCGTATTTAGCAGTAGATTCATATAAAAGAGAAAGGCATGCAAACAGATCTGTTAGAGACAGAGCAACTATGATGATTCATCTTCAGCTTTCTTGGTCATGTGTCCTCACCATTATTTTTATATATTTGAAGATTCTGGTCATCAAAATAATTCACCAAATGTTTGGTCAGATCAACCTAGTAATTAATTTTTTTGTCTGTTGCTTTCCTGTCATGAGGGTCATAGGGTGACTGTGGTTGCACCTCAGAGCTGTGATACTTTCTACCTGACTTCTGTGTGGTGTTTTATTTAAATTCTAGATGCATGTGTGGACAAAGCTAAAGTAGAAGAGAGTGAAAAGAAAGCAGCAGAATTTTCCAGAAAGGTAAGTCCTAATCATCACTCTTTTGGAGGTATGGAAGAGAAGCCTGATGGGATCACTGCAGGCTTGTTTCACAGTAGAAACTTAGTGGAAACAGGGATATAGCCTATTGCACAGGCAGGACGTTCTTTCATGTTTACTAGTGCTCAGGGAGGGGTGTGTGTGTGTGAAATATCTAAAGCACAGGTATATGCTTAAAAAAAACCCCCAAACACCTGGGGGTTAAACGTTCATAACTTCATGTAGCTTTGTTTTAGAACCTGAGCAAAGCAGTGTCATCCAGTGTTTGCAAAAGCATTGACTCCTGAGGCACACTGATGCTAACAGTGAAACACTGCTTTATTTCCTTATTATGCCTATGATCCATTATTACATTCTGAGGGAGAATAATTTATTTCCATATTATTCATGTTTCGGAATCTTACAGTGCATTTTGGAACCTGTTTGGCTAACAGTTTTGTTCTTTTGATCCAGTTCCCTTTTATTAGCAACTTATAAAAATAAGGCCTATTTCAGTCATAAGCAGTTTTCATTTATTACTAAACAGGAGAGGGTGAACATTAAAAATTATTTCTGTAGGAAGAATTTCAGCTCAATATATTTCTTGCAGTAAATTTCTGGGGTGTCTTTCTAAAGAAATTGATGCTTATCCTTCTGCAGTATCACTGTTGGTGTCAGTGTCGAAAATATCTTGGTACAACATGTTTTCTCAAGTTACTTAAATTCTTGGTTCCCAGATATGTTAATGGGTAATTTATTCATCTCAGCTCATCACATCTGATCTAAGGATATGAAATGGAGAATGTACTATATTAGCTGCAGCAAGTACTAAATTTAATGTTATCTATTAAAAGCATTCAAAATTTTGATCTTTGCTGGCCTGGTCTAAGAAGCCTTTTTCCAGGCCAAAAGGCAGTACCTGTTCTTGAACATGATGATTACAAATGTCGAATGAAGTCATTAGCCTTTTTCTCTTCAGTGTTAAATGTAGATGCATTTTTAATAGGGGTTTTCGTGTCTGAGTTTCATAGAAAGCAAATTGTTGTGATGCATCCCTGGCAGAGATTTTTATCATAATGTATTTTGATAGTGATAATCAATACATGTTCTTCCTAGTGATAAGTTGTTTTGTCCTGTGGAAGAATGAAGAACAGAAACCTAGAGATGCTAATAAGTAATAATCTCTTAAGTCTAGCAACAGTAGCAGGATGAAAATATACAGCAGAGTTATCACAATCGTCTTGTAAATGTGCATCTATTGCTCTAGTTGTGATACTGTTCAAAGAATTCATTGAAGTGGTAGTATCTAGAGTGCTCATAAATGGACAAACGCTTCTGTGTTGGTTAATAATTACAGTTTGATGAAGAGTTCACGGCTAGACAAGAGGCACAAGCAGAGCTTCAGAAACGAGAAGAGAAAATCAAAGAACTTGAAACAGAAATCAAACAGCTACGAACCCAGGTAATAAAACTACACCACAGTGAATTCCACAGTTGAATATTTTTTCTTTCTTTCTTTAAGTAATTGAAAATAAATTGCCCAGGATGGTATTGTCTCTGTGGAGTTTGAAATGTATGTTATAGTTGTTGCTTATTTTTTTTTAAGCCAGCATAAACTAAGGATAGTTAATGTAGGTAATGCTTTTTTCCAAATAGCATCATTTATTCAACATCTGTCCACAGATATTTGCTTTATAGAGGAAAAAATTTCCTTAGCCTATGAAAAGTTTGAATCTAGCATGAGTTTTTTCTCCCAGTATTTGGTTATGCTTTAACATTACGACTTTTGTATGTTTTGCAGAAAGTCTTTGTTTCAGAAGGCTTCATACTTGAATTGGAAAAGTGGAAATCATTACACCTGTGTGCACACACTATGTATCTTTCAGCATGTGCATGCAACTGATGACTTTTGGTTTTGAACTCTGATATAAGACTGTAACCATTTATAAAATTAACACTACACTGGCTTTATAGAGTCTCATAGGTAAATCTAACAAAAAAAAAAAAGCAAGACCATATGGAAGTGGAAGGTGATGCTTAATTTCAGTACAGTTGATTTTACTGGTGTTCATTTCCTCATGAATTTCGCTCACAAGCACCAAAATGTATCTCCAAGTGATCTGTCGCATATCACTAGTGAAGCAGAAAGGATAAGAAATGCTGCCTGTTGAGCCTTCACAAATATCTCTTGGGTTTCTTTTGTTTAATGATGATGAATTTGATTTAGACAGGTCATTTGTACCCTTTCGGAACCAAGAGATAGAAGGTTTGATCTTTTTGCCTCATCCTATCTCCTACTCCTTCAGTGCTAGGCAAGGTCTGCCTCTTGCTTTTTTCTCCTCATCGTGTATACCTATGCTCTCACTTCCTATTTGGATAATAAGAGGAAGAATAGCATGTGGTGTGCTGTTACATGGTTGCTGTCATCCTGCTTTCAGGATGCGGGTCAGATTCTGTCGTCTGTGCTGTAGCTTTACCAGAGCACTGGCCGTCTCAGCTTAGTGTGAGCATGTTACATTGCACTTAACTGTTGGATTGCTGTTCATGGTGTCCTTTGCTGTCACTACAAGTCATTCTTGTAACCTCTGTCTTATGCTTTCTTACTCTGTTTTCACACACAGACAATCTTTTCATACTTCATGTTTATCAGTTTTAATGGTTTTTTTCAGGTATCTACATGACAAGGTTGCACTGAAATTTGACAGTCTGTTTTAATGAGTTTTCCACCAGTTGTGGCAGTACAACTTGGGTAGTAGTTTGTGGGCCTTAGAAACAAATGCCTTTTGCAAGGCCAAATTTTTTTTTTAAGTCTAATTATTAATATTTTTATATTGCTACTAACACAATTTGGATTATTCAGACATTGCAGCTTATTCACAGTAATGGTACGATTAAAAGTGACACACATGAACTTTCTAGTATTTATGCCTTTTTTTCTGTAGTGTTATGCTCTTCATACAATACGTTCTGGTATTTGTTCTTAGATACGCTCAGAATTTTCTCAACTTTTTTTTTTTAAACAAACTATTGCTT